TAAACGTTATTCGTTCATTGTATCATTTACTTATTATTTAATCAATTATTAGGTTAATTAACATTTTAAAACGTAGGTTAAAATGATTTTGGGGTTGCTCGTGGCGCCATCTAGCGTTCACGGCTGTGAACCCGTTTTTCTCTCTGGTGCAGCAATATTGGAGCCAAGCATGCTTGGCTCAAATTTTATTGCATCAATTGATGCTAGCGGAAAACTATTATATGGAAATTGTAGATCTCGTTTTGTTTTTATGTTTTTACATCATGCATTTATTAACACTCGTTTTGAATTTTGTCCCCTAGGGAAAACTAACACATGCACATAGCTAGCTGGCTCAGTTTCGTTGTTACTAGCTGTACAATATAATATGAATCAGGAAAAGAAAAATGCGATAGTCAAAAAATAGCGATAAAGAATAGACTTGTACAATTAAATGCCGGCATTAATATATGTATATGTATGTAACGTACATAATTGTATGTACGTACGTATGCACTGATAAGAAATATGAGTAAGAGCCTTGCTAGTATTTAGTGTATTATTTCGTATATATATATATATATATATATATAGATTGCTTCCTTCTTTTTACATTTATTATGGAGCAAATATAATAAACAAAATCGCGTAACTTCATTGAAAATGTATAAGGCAACAATCGCGTTGTACACGATGAAAATATTGTTATCATGATCGCTTTCTAATATGATTATGATCAATTATTTGATGAATATTACGCAGCAGGTGAATTATTTAGATGAATCCGATTCGAGTCTGGCACAAGTTACACAAAAAAGTTACACAAGTTGCTGTCAAAAATTTCTTATGACACATTGTTTACATTTCTTCCTAACAACATGCTTAAACTACGTATTACCTCTAATCTTGGCTATCGTAAGTCCCCCCTTATCGTAATTACAGAATTTCCAGTTTATCGTGTAATTACATAAGTCTCAGTACGTGAAAATTGTCACAAAAACCATGGATTCCATAAGATATGGAATATTAACAGGTAAACATTTAATCATTGTTTAAATCGAATCATTTAATTTATGCATCGTACTCGTCCGTTCTTAACAACATGGTTTAGTTAGCGACAGCTGCTTCTATAATAAAAGCGAAGACAGAAGTGGTGTTGAATTAGAACAGTGCATCAACGATGAACAATCTGATATTGGAAAGGTTCTAAAAGGTCGAGTTTGTATCAAATTGATTGTACCAGATGAGGAGAAATATATAAAGGTAATTACCGCAGCATAGATAAAACTAGAAACACAAATTCATAATTTTTATACATTTATAAAAATCGAATTTGGCATAAACGTTTAAGAGAACATTCTGTATTCTCTTGTGTATGCAGAAGACTCTAAAGCATTGGGTACACGAAGAGGTAGACGTTATCCTCACAGTTGGTGGCACAGGATTTTCCAAAAGAGATGTGACTCCTGAAGCGACTAGGCACGTAATTCAGAAGGAGTGCCCTGGAATGGTCATAGCCATGCAGATGTCCAGTTTGAAGATCACACCAATGGCTATGTTGTCTAGGTACAAGATGGAATTATTTACAGTTCTGTAAAGAATGTCCTACGGCCACTTTACTTGCTATTGTTAATATTTTTTATTAAGAGCCGTGTGTGGAATACGAGGTAGCACGTTGATAATAAATTTACCAGGATCGCCAAAGGCAGCCAAGGAATGTTTGAGTGCGATAGCATGTGCCATACCACATGCAGTCAATTTAATTAAAGATGAAAAAGATAAAATAAAAAGTACGCACATGATTGTTCAAGGCGAAACAAACGTTAAGAATGTCACGTATCCACATAAGATTTCGGTAAGGGTTCACTAATTAATGGTATGAAATACATACGCGAATGATAATTACTTTATTCTACAGTCGTGTTTATCCAGCGTTGCTGAACGTGATAGAGAATCGTCATATCCAATGATTTCTATAGATGAAGCTAAAGAACTAATGGTGAGAGAGGTAGAACTGGTAAACGTGTGTACAGAATTGGAGTTGGAAAACTGTCTTGGCAAGATATTGGCTACTGATCTATATTCCAAGTATGATCTACCACCGTTCAGGGCATCTATCAAAGATGGTTACGCGGTTTTAGCTAGCGATGGCATGGGCAAAAGGAAAGTATTGGCTGGGATAAAAGCGGGAGACATCGTAAGTATTCAATCATTTATATACATAATTAATTAATACGTACAATATCGTTTGACGAATTTTCAGGCTACCGCTATTAAACTCGAAGCTGGCACATGCGTGAGAGTGAATACAGGCGCTCCGATACCAGATGGTATATTTTTCAACAATAAGAATCCAATGCGATGAGTTATTCTAACAAATATTAATATAATTTTACGTGTTTAAAAGATGCCACTGCTGTAGTTCAAGTGGAAGATACTAAACTTGTGGAGGAAAGCTTGGACAAGGAGGAGAGCGAAATTGAAATCATGACGGAAGTCAAACCGGGACAAGATATTAGGTAATTCATTCTCTCCTTCGTGTTCGAGGTTCATAAATAAATCTTTCTATCGAATTTCAAGGCCGATCGGTTGCGATATTAAGAAAGACGACTTGATTTTAAAGAAATATACCAAATTGGGAGCCATAGAGCTTGGTTTGGCCGCAGCGTGTGGATACAACAAGATAACGACTACTTATGTCCCATTGGTTGGTGTACTATCTACAGGGGATGAGTTACAATGTGCCGGCGGACCTTTGATGCCAGGACACGTTTACGACAGCAACAAAATCACTCTGTTATCTATGCTGAGAGAGAACGGATTTGATCCGATCGACTTGGGCATCGCGGCAGATCAGTGAGTTTATTCTTAATTTTCTTTGATGTTCACTTCGTGTTTTAAAACGTGTGTGTGTGTGTGTGAAGCGAGGAGGCAATGGTAGAGAAGATCAGAGATGCTGTGCAGAAGGTAGACGTCCTGATAACGTCAGGTTCTGTATCCATGGGCGATAAAGACATGCTGAAGCCAATACTAACAGGGCACTTCAATGCTACCATTCATTTTGGTATGGAAATAAAACAATTCCGATTGTACATAATAACTTAGAGTGAAATTTATCTTTAGGACGCGTGAATATAAAGCCTGGGAAGCCTACTACTTTCGCGACGTGCATGTTTAAAAACAGAAAAAAGTATTTTCTGTGTTTACCGGGGAATCCGGTCTCTGCGACCGTCATTATGCGTTTCTTTGGGTTCACGCTGCTAAATCGGTTACGTGTATATGATTGCGAGGAGACAATAGTGAGAGCAAAAGTACGTACAGGTATATTAATAGACCGCGGATTTGATGAAGTGCGCATTTATAAAAACATAGAAACGGTCTATGGGATGCATGAATGATCACCTGAACTGCATTCTTTGAATTAAGAAACCGTGGTTTAGCTATTAAAATAAGTTTGTAATTAATATTTGTTTCAATAATGCAGCTAGCGTCAGGCTACAAGTTAGATTCACGTCCCGAGTTCGTGAGAGCTAACTTGAAATGGAGCGACGAGGATACTCTGCCGACGGCTACGATCACCGGGAATCAGATCAGCAGCAAATTGCTGAGTTGTAAAAACGCAAATTCGTTCCTGTTGTTACCGGCGCGTGGCCTGGAGGACGAGTTGCAAGAAGGAGATGTTGTTGAAGCATTGTTATTAAACGTCTAACAAATATTTTTCTACTAATTTCACAGATTTATATTGTATCAAGCATTGAATAGTGAATATTCGTACTGTATGTATTCCGTTGAATATTAATTAATAATAAATTTGTTTTGTTTTCCCACGAAATTTGTTTTACAAGACGAGAAAATAGACGAAACTGTTTACATTTGTTTGATACATAGACGATACTTAAATTAATTTACCAGTTGCCCTACTGTATGCGTGACTGTGTATTAGTGCATTGTATTATGTGGTACACTCGCTTATATCTTATAAGGAGTGGGGGAGCGGCGCGAGGAAGAAAATGGCCGACGGAGCAACGGTAAAAGGGCAGGGACGTCTAGCGAAGTACGTGTTTCGGGCGACTAAACCACCGAATCCTCATTACCTACTCGGAGTCAAACATCTTAGTTAACTTTGAAACATTTTTATGTATCCCCTCGCTGTCAAGTTCGATCGAGGGATCAATTTACGAGTCCCGTAACGCGTTCGGTTCAATTTGGTCGTTTAAAAAAGCGTTCGCGGGCGGTAGGTGGAAATAAAAAAGTACTGGCGAGTGATAAACATTAATTATGCTCTGTACGTTTAATTCGTACGTTCGTCCGTTGTCCTGGGTTCGTTCTCGGCCAGTGGATCGCGAGGATTTTGCGTAAAGAACGAGTCAGAGACTGGGAAAGTGTCGTACGTGACAAACTCATCGATCAGCGGTGCTGGTTTACGGCTTTGCCACTTGTGGCCATCTACGGATACGAGGAAAACGTTTCAAAAGGTATCCATAAGTCGTCGTCGAGAATTTCGTTCAATTTCCCTCGGTGCTGGCCGTTCTCCTTAATTTCTGTTTTACTCGCACGTTGTGTCCCCGAATTACGGACAGAATTCTAGTCGGAGAAATTATTGGAAGTCGGTTTGACGCACGTCCAGCTACGGTGGAAGGCAAGATGCGAGCGATTTAAAGGGATCGATTTGTCAACAAGTCGATGAAAGTGCGCGCGACCCGTGTCTCTCTGGATCATATTCATTAATTATTTTATTATCTTCCCGTCCCATTTAACGCGACTCGTTCCGCGGCTATTAACAAACACTTCTAACAAGAAAATTCTCGTGGTTCGAACGTTTCTAATTGTAAATTTCAAGGAGGTTCGTGTAACAGAGAACTGCCAGTGTCACTTGCATCGTTCATTTCTCTACCTTATTCAGTTTTCGAGTTCTTCCGCGAAGCAACGAGGATAAAGCACGTTTTTCTCGGAATAAAAGTTAATGAAATTTCAACGAAGTAAAGTAACCTTCGCTGTTCGACATAATATAAGTGATATTACGGTTGTCCGAGGTGAAAAATTGTGAAGAAGGTTAGCTCAAGTCCAGGTGAAATTTTTCCTCTAGCTTTTCATTGAAACAAGAATTAAGAGTAAAATAAGAATGAAACTTGAAGTTGAAGTATCGAGGTTTCAGCTTCATAAGTTCATCAGTATGCGTTGAAATAAGAAATGTATTTTGTTAGAAGCAATGATTAAGAGATAGACGATATCATAAACGAAATTGGAATTGTATTAAAAATCGTACGATAAAAAAAATAATCTGAATGAAATCATACGTACAATATTAATTCTCAAATCTATGTCGAACACAAGTATTCAATATTATTATACTGTTCTATTAGTTTATAACGTTTAATGTAAACGTGCACATGTACAACACAAAATTCTTGTTAGACAACTGCGTGCGATTAATTGCTGATACAAATTGTTAATATAATTAGTAGTAAATAATGTCTTATATTTCTTTCCAGATACAATTCGGCTTGTGAAAGGTTTACAATATTTATACAATACTTGGAAGATGGCCGTTAGGTAGTTTCGATGCAACTAGCAGTGTCTTATCCGAGATATTGAGTAAGAATCGACGCACTGGAAAGATGTAAAAGTTAACAGGGGTGAAAATGAAGCCACAAAAGAAGGCCGCGGTTGCCCGTAAGGCAACGAGAATGCCTACGATCGCGAAAAAACGTCGCTTTTTGGAGAAGACAGTGTCCGACGTCCGTAAAGAGAAAAAGACCAAGAAATTAGAAGAAGCGCGAAAGAAGACCCTCGACAGCGATAAGAGGAAATCGGATCAGGAAAAGAAGAAGTCGGAAGACGGCAAGAAGAAACTCGATGAGAAACGAACGGTCAAGGAGAAAATCGAGAAATTGGACAAAGTCGACGATAGGAAGAAGAATTGCCCGAAGGATCACGAGAAGAAGGTGGACGAAAAGAAGATTTTGGATAAACCCGATGAAAAAATGATGATGGAGGAATTTGGCCACCAAGATACGATCGAAAAGAAGAAGAGTCAGAAGGTGGGTGAAGAGAAAACGAAAGTGGACAAACAGATTATAGACAGCAAGAAGAAGCCTGATAAAGTATTAACAGTTGACGAGAAAACAAAGAAGAATGGGAAATTCGACGACGAGAATTTTGATAACCAGGCCGCGGTCTTAAATCTGAAGGAGATCCTTGATGAAAACAAGAAGGACGAGCCGCGCGAGGAAAAAGTAGACAAAGAAATCGGCAAGAAAAAATGCAAGGACGACAAGAAGAAAGATAATTCGAAGCCCATTAAGGTATCTGTGATAAAGGACAAAAAGTCAGACCGGAAGAAGATTGGTAAGAAGGATTCAAAGTCCAAGTCCGTGCAGAAGAAGGAGATCTCGAAGAAAACGGTTCTAACTAAGAAGTCTCATTTGTCAATAGTTCAAAAACTAGTTGATAAGAACATTAAGCCGAACAAATTGCTTAACTCCGAGGAGACGACCTCGGTCAGCGAAGAAGATGAGTCCGTGAAGAAAACGAAAAGAAAAAGCGCACCCTCGAACGCCTCTTCCAAAACTAAGAAGCCAAAACTAGGAAAATCTATGAAAGCCAAGCTGCCTTTAAAAAATAATAAAATTAGTACCGACAAACTGCGAACGTTGGTAGATAAGATTGTCCCTAAGAAAAAAATAGAATCGAAGGAACCAGAGAAATCGTCGAACGAGAAGAAATTACGTAAAGACGAATCGAACGAAGAAACGGATGTAACAGATACAAAAAGCGACGTCAAAGAAGTGGAAGATAATAAGGAGATAGATAAAGTTAACAAAGAGGAACAAGTACAATCTAAGTCACAAGAAGTTAAGAAGAACATTGGCAAGAGCGTTTCCAAGTCGAGTGAGAAGAATAAGAAGGTCGTGAAGAAGAAACCTGTTAAATTACAAGAGAACATAAGTCAGTCGTCGTCATCTTCCGAGGATACGTCATCCGAGGAATTGAAACAGACTAAAACCGGTGAGGGCGGCGTCGACGACGGCGTCCCTTCTAAACAAGAGATCGAGGATCCGATCGAAGAAGATTTTAAGGATGAATGCGAAATGAACGGAGATAACGGTAGTAGTAACTCTGTCACGTCGGAGTCCGAAGACTATAGCGACGAGGACTCGAGAAGGAAGAACAGGGATTATAAGAAGAGAAGTAGATCGCCCAGCGATGAACGATTTAGAAGAATGAGATTATTCGGTTTCTGGAACGGTCCTAAGAGACACAGAGTGGCTTCCTTGAACGCCTTGGCCAAAGTTCACTGTTTGTATGAGAACGAAACAGGTGGTGTCTACCTGGGCGGTTTCTGTAAGCCTAAACCAGAGAAGGAAAGGCAGAAGAAATCTAAGGAAGAGATCAAGGAGAAGGAGAAAGAAAAGGAGAAGAAAGTAGAGACTAAAACGGAGGAGAGCACGCCTAAAAGGAAGTTGAGGAACGTCCCTGGTTTAAGAGGAAAGCATTGGGACATGTTAGAAAGTTCTTCGTCCTCTTCTTCTTCTTCTTCCGACGAGGAATATGAAAAGGAGAAAAGTGTAGAGAACAGTGGGAAGAAGAGAATCACCAAGCGTAGAAAGAAGGAGGAAGTGATGGATCTGAAAGACATGGTGGTTTGTAAGAGAATGGCTTCTTTGAATGCTTCAGCTATTCTGGCAGCGTCCTACTCGGACGAGAAGCATCTTCGCGGTAGCAGTAGCAGCGATTCTTCGAGCGAGTCCGAGGTGGAGATCATCAAGAGGCGAAAGCAGAACGATTCCGATATCGATAAACGTAAGTCGAGACAGAACGCGGAGCAGGATGACGTCTTGAAGCCGTCGAACAAACTGGTTATTCTTAATCAAGACACCGACGTCACTATTACCGGTAATTGATTCAATCTCATTAGAAATCGTAACATGCGAGAATTGATTCAGTGCATTAAAAAAAGAAAATAAAAAAGATTTCTAAGAGCGTACAACGTGTCCCGAAGATTATCAGGGTTCGCTCAGATGTTTTAATTCTCTTTTAAGGTGTCTACGTTAATCAGACTCGATCTACGACTCACGAGGGTTTCTGCAGCATCGCCGGAATGCAGTATAGAATCAGTTCGACGAGTCATACTCAGACAGCGGCTACTGCCGTCGCTACCGAACTCCACGATCAGGTCTGATTTAGATTCTTATACGTGGGATGCTTTTTTGTTGGACATGTTGTAAAGTATCGAATGAATTGTTATAACAGCAAAAGTTGGAACAACCTTGCAAGTCGTACACACCATTGGGCGCGCTGTCTTCTATGCAACCACCTGGTAGCCAGGGTAGTCATCCGAATATGTCGCCGAGGAGACATTCCGCGTTCTCTGCTCCGCACCAACACGGTAATATTTATCTTAGCAAACATGAAATAAAACATGAATAGTCGGGTTTTTGTATTAATTCTAAATCATGCATATACGGTATTAGGATATTATCAGCCGGCTGGGCCACTGATACAACATCCGCCGACATTGCCTCCAATCAAGGGACCACCTCCGGAGCCAACTCCGACCCCACCGCAGAACTCCGAGGGCTCGGACGACCTGGTCGCAACTTCCACAACGTCTGGAGGTACGAGCAGTACAGGTACAATTCTCATTATTAATGAGCACACGTGCAACGATAGCGTCAAGAGTGTCTGACCAGCAAATTATTTGAATTTTTTTAGGAGGCGGATTTTATAGGGCATATTGTCCTCAATACTACGGCACACCGCCACAGTACCCCGATCTGTGTTATCCGCCAACGTATTCTCACCCCCACGCTCATCCTCCGCCTTATTACAAATACCCGCCCACTTACAGAAGGTAATAACCATGAATACGTAATTCGATCCCTTAAAGACAAGTGAACAAACATGAAATATTTAGAACGATCCCGGCTGCATCTTCTTTAAGGGATTAAATGTGCCCCACTTCGAATTTGAATTATTAGTCAGTCATTTTGAAAATTAACAAGTTAAGAAGTTAATGAATTAGTGATTCGTGGCACAGTTACGCTTAACTATTTTATTAAATATTTCAGTATGAAGATTAACTGTTAATCTTGATAATGTACTGTACGGAAGGTACTTTTTCAGGCAGTACTACGGCTACCAGGAATCCGGCGGAGGTGGTGGCCCAGGTGGCGGCGCAACTGCCGGAGGACCGGCGGTCGTCGACTATCAACCGCCTCCGCCTCCAGGAGAATACCCTCTGCCGCCTTACTACGGAGCATATCCTCCTCCTCCGCCACCGCCGCCACCTCCGCCCAATCCGGCGTATTTACATACTCAGGGAAGACCTTTCGTAGATCGTGAGTATCGCTGTCGCGCCAAGATAATTAATAAACTGCTCTGCGTGCAAAGTGAAACATTTAGAGAATCAGTTTAAGAAACGTGTTTTGAGTAAACGTTGCATTATGCATTCAGCTTTCGATATTCTGCGTAGTGTCTATGCGAATGAATGATATCTGTTCGTTTAACGATTGATGATTATTTGTTGCCAGACGCAGCTTTCCAAGGCTGCCCATGCCCGATGCAGTCCTGTCCAAAAAACGTGGATACTGGGCCCCTTATTGGTAATGGTAAGGGAGCGCCAGTGGTATCGGGGCCCGGTCTGTCATTGCCACCCAGTGCTTTGGTAGGTCCGCCCTCGCCGGCGAGGGGGCTAGCCGGGCTAGCGCCGCCTCACGGTGCCAACGCCTGGGATACGGATCGCGTCCAACTTAACACACATCGCAACCTGAATCAGAACCAATCACAGCCCACAACTACAGTACCGGCCTCGCGCAACGTCGCCAACAATCGGCAACAGAACACCGATTGCAAGAAGGTTTGCGTTGATCTTCATATAAATTCCATTTTTCAATACGCACACTGTGATCACTATGAGCAGCGATCGTGTTCATCGTTTCAGGACGAGAAGAACTGCTCGAAGGATTCTAAGATCGAGAAATGCGGTTGTCAAAAGCATGCGTGTACTTCGAACTGCGAGGTGAAAATGGAGAACCTGTCGCCGTCGGAGAAATTGTCGGTTACCACCTGCCCAGGTGGTAAATACGGGCACAATTTCAAATTGGAGAACAATAATGTGAAGTGCGAGTCGTGTAGCGTCGAGATCGGCGACAATTTGTCCTGCGTGGCCAATTGCAACGTGAAATGCGAGTCGGACTACAAATGCGATATAATGAAGTGCGAGCAGTGCATGAAGGAAGGTCAGATGGCTATACTGGAGATAGACAAGGACTCTGGGATACTGCTGGACGAGAAATTGGACGCGGACGACGTAAAGGAGGAGTTGATGAACGATGTGGCTGTTCCGATTGAAAATGATAACTGGAAGAAGCCCGATTATGAGCCTACGGTTCAGGAAGAAACGTTGCAACAAGACGAATCCGATGGGGATAAAAGCTTGGAGAAGGAAGTGGAAGAGGAGCCTCAAACGGAACAGCCGAGGTGTCAGAAGGTTTCCAAAAGAAAATTGTCTTTGGACAGCCTTTCGGACAGCAGAAAGAAGAGGAAAGTGAGTAAGAGAACTCTCTCCGTCGGCTCGTCGCAAGATTTAAATAACGGGGAGCTTGTATCCCCTAAGATTTCTTTACCAGCTCTATGCCTGGTAAAGAAAACTGATAGCAACAGCGAGGACTGCGCTTCGCGGAAAAAACAGATAAAGAAGGATGCTACGATGCATAATCAAAAGAGGAAAGTGGATAACTCTATGGAGAACGCAAGCGCGAAGAAGTCGAAGACGTCCAAACAGGCTCCTAGCAACAATATCTTAACTAATTGCGTTAAGCAATCTGCTAGCGATAATTCCATCATGGAAACTATCGACAATGTCATTCAACAGAGCCTGCAGATGACGCAGAAGAAAGATCGGAAGAGCAAGACCAGCGAGAAGTCAGAAAGATCGAAGAAAGTGGTGAATCTTTTATCAGCGGTGAAGAAAGTGACCAAGAAGATCGACTTAGTATCTGGAAAATTGTCTAAGAACGCGCAGTCCAAGTCTAACAAGTACAAATCGAAGAGCAAGAGCAAGAACAAAAGTAAGTCCAAGTCCTACGAGACTAAGACGAAGGACAGCGGTAAAAAACAGGCGGTAACGGCCAAGTCCAAGGCTGCTGTATGTATCGACGAGACGAGGATGAAGCAGCCGGCGTTGATAAAGAAGAAGCAGCGAAAAAATACCAAAAAGCCGGCGATTAATAAGAAATCGGGATCGAAACTCCTGGAAAATTGTTCGACCGGGAACGAGCATCTAGTTTTGACTAGGAAAATGTTCCTGAAGCCGAAGTGGAGCAACGGATGGAGCTGGGAGGGAGACCCGTTCGAGGCCAAAGTTTATTTAACGGTAAATAAAGAAATTCACGCGGTACTTTTCACCGTGGCAATCGGACCTAACGAAACTGATCTATTTATCACAGAACGAAGAGTCTGCGATACGAAGGTGTTACGCGAGCATGAAACACGAGAGTGGCGACGTGCTGAGACCCCGGGATTGCGTTTTATTGAAGAGCGGTCCGCGCAAAGCAGATTTGCCCTTTGTAGCGAAGATTGCTGCCCTTTGGGAGAATCCCGACGACGGTAAGTTCAACTGGTCGGTCGAGAATTAATTTAAGTCGATCGTCATGGTGATATTTTTTATTTGTACAGGCGAAATGATGTTCTCGTTGCTATGGTACTACCGACCTGAGCACACCGAGCAAGGCAGGACGCAATACGACACGGCGGATGAAGTGTTCGCATCGCGGCACCGCGACGCCAACAGCGTTGCTTGTATAGAGGACAAGTGTTATATCTTGACGTTCAACGAGTATTGCCGGTGAGCATTCTATTGAATATGAATATCCGTCGATAAAAATATTTTTTAATGCCTTGTGTCTGACGTCTGAAAATTGAATGTTGTCAGGTACCGAAAGAATTTGAGAAGAATCGAGGAGGGATTGGAAAGTCCTGGCCTGATAGTCCCACCCGGGGACCAGGTTTACCCGAGGGAGAGTTGCCAGCCGCCCATACCCGTTCCCTCGGACATGGTTTTATTCTGTCGACGCGTTTACGACTACCGCGGCAAGAAACTCGTGAAAAATCCCGGATGACTCGATTTTTTGTAACGGATTCGATCGGGAACCAATTAAAGATGGGATAAACGCAACGATGCACAAAAAACTGTTTTGCTGCATGTAAGAACGAAAACGGATGTAGGTCTCCCCTTCAAGCGTATCCACTGCTGTTAATCGAGTTCAATTTACGCTTTAAAGGTACCAAATTTATTCTTTTATCAATTCTTATCACGTTTTTTCCCACGTTGCGGTTCGTTCTTCAAGTTTCGCTTGATCGTATGCGAAACGGTGTTTGCGTCTTTTTTGATTTTCTTTTTATTAAGCTAAACGGTTGCAGAGCAACCTGTGCTAATTAGTGGTAATTTGTGTGAATTGTATATTACAATTAAGTACAGCTTGTTTTGCCTGCTTGAAAGTTTTACTTTCCTAAAATAGAGCTAGGAATTTAATCGACTCATTTATACGAGTAAACAAAAAAGTTTAATTTTTAATGCAAGATAGATGGGAATAATGCTTGATTAGACGTATGATAAGTTGGGAATAATCTGCTTTGGTCTTGGATCAATTCGTTTGTTCAATTCGCGGAAAAGAGATACAAGACGGATGAAGAGAAATAATAGATAAAATAAATCACGGGGAACCTATAAGTAAGAAAGATGGTATATAAAATTTATTATATGTAGCACAAAGAGAGAGAAATTGCGCGCGCGCGAGAGAGATAGAGTAGAGAGAGAGAGAGAGAGAGAGAGAGAGAGAGAGACCAAACAGTAAAAGGTAAAAATAATCAATAAAATTTTTGAGTGTGAATGAACGACGAATCGTTTCAGTGAAGTGGTCGAGAAATATTTCTTAGGAGAATATAATAATAGAGTTTGACAATTTTATAGAGAGAGCGATAGTGAGAGAGTTTGGACAGGAGAGAAAGGGAGAGAGAGAATGATATTTTCTTGTGAGATAAAATAGCGTATCTGCAAGTTGAAATATTTTTTAAATATTTTTCACATAAATCGGGAAAGAGATATGAATTAAAATACAGTGTATTATCCCAGAAAATTGGAAAAAGGCAAGAAGTTGTTCAGGTTTTCTACCGTAATAGTACATAAGCATATGTACAGTAGTGATTCGACGTTTGGAATTACACAAATATTCTAAGTAGCGTAGGAATTACATTTCAATTACGATCGTTTGAAAAAAAAAAAAAAACAAAGTTTTTCAGTTGCATTAGTTAAAGTAATGTTTTCAGTTGACAAACTTTTTGCCTTTTTTTGGGGATAGTATACGTAGAATTTTCGAATCGATGCTACGTTCATAGCGAGTTCTAACACTTTGGTTCGCGTCAGAAACAGTTGCCACGTAAGTATTTATACTGAAACTTGGTGTCACGCCAGATTAGTCGAAAGGTAAACGGATTTTAGCTTCCAATTTTAATTTTTCATTCGTCAAATTAAAGACTAAATGAAAATGAATACTATATGAATGAAGAAAGAGGAAGATCATAGACTATGTAGATTTTTGAACCGTGGAAGTTAACAATAATTCCGATTAAAATTATTCCAACTGCCATATCACAGAGAGAGAAAAGAAAAAAATATATTTAACGATTCCTCCTTAACTGTAAATTTATAAATATTTATTTATCTATTTGTGTTTTCATACCAAGTTTTAAGAGAGTAGGACGATTATTACAAAGTTTTCTCACGCGTCTCCCTTTTTTCTTTCTTAACAGAATCACACGATATCTTTCTCACAGACTCGGTCGAAATAATATAAAGCGAGACTTTTTACAACGGAGATATTTATACATATATTATAACCCGTTACGCGAATTTGTACATTAATTAACGATTAATTAATTGATCGTTGCTTTTTAATTTAAACTTTTGTATAACCACACACAGACACAGACAGATACACACACGTTACACACAATCTCTATCACGTTAGCTCGTTAGGGAACAACGTGGTTGTGTACGATAATAATAAAACCGCTTTGTATTTTTTTTTTTTTATTAAGAACCTGCGGATATTTATGCGAACACGTGACTTTACATTAAAACCGCAGCTCGAGACACGAACATGTACTTCTCATCGTATACATAGTTTCTACTTTTGTGTATTTTTTTATACCCTCGCTTAGTCAGAACGTTTTACCGATGCAGCTTCATTTCGTTGGACATAGAAACTTCTCTGGTCGCATGAATATTCGCGGTGTAACCGTTAATTTCGAGTCGTATGATTATCAATTAGCGCCGCATAGTCCAAGTGTATCACATCGGTAGTACGCGAAAAAAAAAGAGAGAAAACGTAAAAAAAATGTATCCGTGAGTTTTTCGAGGCGAGAAGTGAATTACGTTAGTCGAGGAAATTACAATTACAATTAGACAGCGGGTTTCGATCGAAAGTTACTGTATTGTTTATTTATTCTAGCACGAACGTTTCCGCAGAATCGGATCACGATGAGTACAAGAGACTCGAACGGAATTCTGTTCACCGGTCGCAGCAATTTCGTCTTTCTCATGAAAAAAACGCGGTCTAACTGTAATTATAATTGTTAGCCGATAAAATTATAATTAACGAGTAGAGAACGAACGTGAGAGTGGGAGAGAGGCACCTTAGGGACGTAATTATAATAATTAATTATTTTTAACGAAATTCCAAATGATCATGGTAATGAATGATGACGACGATGACGAGGACGATAATGATATACCGTGTACGATGCCTGCCAGAAGTATCGAATCGAGTTCAATTTAAAAGATCATTGCCCGATGATAATTCCAAGTGAAATTTGTAAAGGTCGATGGGAAATAGAGGAGAGATATGAAATTGGATTTTGGCACTTTTGATAGGTAACGTGCATACATTATGCGTATATATATATTTTCTCGATTAAAAATTTGTTGAGTGGCGGGTGTTGAGTTAGCAAGAGGAAAAGAAATATCATATTATTATTTAAAATTAATATATTGATACACGAACACGATTATTATTTAACATAATATATTGGATATATTATAGACATCGGTATAAGTTATTTCTGAATAGTATATATATTATTATAAATTATACTAATAATTATTATTATTATGTAGTGTATAGATAGGGGGAGGGAGGCCGTGATCGTTCCTGTCTGAGTAGGCGAGTGTGCGACGAGAGATAGAGAATCGAGAGAATGATCTTCGAAAAGATGCAAAAGGAACATGTTTTGAAGAAAGAAAATTACCTGTGTAATACAAACACCATGCTTTCTGTTCTTCCAAATCCTCCCACGGACTCACAGACCCGTTCACGTAAGAGAACTACCTCTACATTGCTACGTTAAGAATTTCTGCTGATATCAAGGAGAACATCTATATAAAAGTTTAAAGGTAGACTCGCGTGAACGAATCTGTAAGTACGCGCGTGCCTGTGAGGGCATATATTAATAAATGAATATTTCCCCGTGTCAAGGATCGCGACGACGCGTGGACGATAAACGGCATTCGTTAATCGAATTAACGTAATCCGAGGGACGAGCCAGGCGAGCACGAGCAGAGCGTGATGAGATTCCCGGCTATAGGCTTTCCGGCTTAGGCCTCGGGCCTCCTCTTTCTCCGTCACCTCCTCGGATTAAAAAGTTAGAACCTCCTTTGGGATCGGATCCTTTCTTGCCCATTTCCGGATCACCTTCTATCAACCGTACCAAGTTCCGTCCAAACGTTTATACAGATTACACACCGTTATCGTCCAGAAAGAAATATTAGCTATAAACAATCCATCGCTCTTTCAATTACCATCATTCGCTCATAGTATTTTACACATACGTGACATTAAAAGTACTAAAAACAGATGTTTCATTTTCAGCTGGTCGATTTTGCTGCGATAATAAAATTGCTAATACCGAGAAAGGTCCGGTCGATCAGGCGCGTGAGTCATTTAAACAAAATTGGAGCCCGTTTTACTTAAAACAAACTAACAGGGTAAGATTTCTCAAAGTCTTCAAGGATCGCGTGACGATCAATAGAAGCCCCCCCTCTCTCTCTCTCTCTCTCTCTCTCTTTTCTCTTTCTATTACATCGCCGTCGCTGTTACTTTTCGACGTCGCATTCCCGTTCTTTGCTTTTTCTTCGTCTTCTTCTCCTTTATTTCTTTTTTTAGCTTGTTTCCGCTCGCCAAATCGGCCGATAGACCCGAAGAAAACCCGCTCGCTGATCCATGCACCCGAGGAATCGCCTCCTCTCCCAGCGACGGGAAGAAACCTTCCTTCGTTTAAAGTACGTTCATTCGTACACGTATACAGGGTGAATCAATAAGAATTATCATTTTAAACAACGCGATGTCAAAAATCCTTAGCAAAATGAATTGTGAGTCGTTAGAACGTGAATTAATCCAGTGAGCTGCAACGTTCACGAGATTCATGTAATACAGCTTCTAGTGAAGAGAAGAGATAATCAATTATTGACTACCCTGTATAGCGTGCTTCGGTATTTTTGTTCCAACGAGATTACAGTAGTTTCGAGATTTACACGTTAGAAATCGAATACGAGCATCGGAACGAATGAAACCTAGAATGCGTTTCGTCTTTCAACGAAATTGAACGAAAATAATTGAGGAGATGTTAAAAAGAAGTCTGCACGCGAGCTCGAACAATGATCGATTCTAAGATCTTACCGAGTATCGTTAAATTCATTGTCGCTTATCGTTACTTAAAACAAAAGTTATTTAAGGGCTAAAATGCTTTCGTTCGCACTTCGAGTTCGCAGTTGGAGCTGGCGGGGATAAATAACCCGTAGTAGGGGAATTACGTGAAACTGCGATTGGTCGTGTCGATAGCGTCCCGACGAATAAGAGGGAAGGGAGTGAGTGGGTAACATTGGCGAGGGTAGCCGGGATCCGGAACGACTGCCACGGCACGGGACCGGACGAGTTTTCAGTTAGCGGCGAACCGCGGCCGGTTCTGGATATCTCGACGTCGTCGTCATCGTCCACGCTTACGTTCGGTCTGTTCGCGTCGCGTTGGACTCGGTTCGGCTCGGTACGTGTCGTGTTTCATCGCTCAAAAGTGAGTAGAGATAGCTGAGTACACGCAGACTCTTCGGGCGCGAGGCCACGCGCCTCTTAACCTACCCGTCCCGTTCGCCCTTTGGAATGATACCTCCGCGCGCGTTCAGAACCAGAACGGAATACACCTGAGACGGTGACACGGACAGGGTGTTTTTTCATGAGGACACAGCGCCGGGGGATCGTCGGGAACGTCGGGCAAGTTCGGGACTCGGTTCCCTCGGGACTCGTTCCCGCCGTCCCCTGAAGTATTTGACTTGCACGTATATAGAATGCGACCGGAGGAATTGACGGAGGAAAGTAATAGAAGAGCGGCGGCGGACGTCATTGATACCGTAAAGGATCGGGCCAAGATCGGAGATGACCAGTAGAAGAGAATCTTGAATCACCCAATCTTGAGTCGTCGCGATAAGTCGGAAACGCGTGTATGTTGAAACATCCACGTTTGTTTTCTCTCCTGGAAGAGTCGAGAATTTGGCCCAGGGAATCGCGTGGCAGAGAATTTCGCTGAATCGGAATTGAATTTCATCAAAAGAGACTTGACGAAAAGATATTTTCTATTCACTTTGAAATCGTCCGTTGCCTCAGAGAACGCGGTTGGCTAAGAACTAATTTATGGAATTAGAACTAGGAGAAGTTGAGGAGGACACGCGTTCTTTTGTTGAATAAACGAGAGACCAAGGTTAAACAGAGTCGTCGCTCTTTCTTAATTTTTCTTTTCGAGTTGTACGAGTTCGACAAACTTTTCATTCATAAACTGTTACCAGAATTCCGTTGGGACGCAGTTGATTCAACAAAGAATCGAGCCCCGGTAATTACTCCGCTTCTTCGAACGAACCAACTATCTAAGATTTATCGTTACAATTTTCAAACCTGTAAAACTGTCTAAAGTTGATTCCATTAATACGGAATTCGTTGGCAAGTTGGAAAATAGGAAAGAGGCAAACGAGAGGAGGAATCCTCCATTAAAGAGGAGGATAAGCTTCGGAAGTAATTCTCGCGTAGGACAAGGACGCAGGATACACTTTATGCGTGGGTGACACACGGCAAGGTGCTTCGAGATAAACAGAGAAATAAGTACTAGAGGAGAGAGATAAAACGAAGGTATAGAAGCGAAGGATACATACCGCGAGAGAGAGAGAGAGAGAGAGAGAGAGAGCGAGCGGGACGAGAGAGAGATATATGGAGCGAGGATATACCGAATACAGAAGGAAGAGATAGAAGATATAGCGAAAACCGAAGGGTGAAAGCGAGACGGGAGATACGTGCTCGGAACAGGTGGAAGAGGACAGAAACGAGCGGTGGCAAGAATAAGATGAGAGATATATGAGATTCGGGGAGAGGGAGAGAGTGCGAGATAAAGGATATATCAAAAACCGTAGAAAGAAAGAACGAGGGAGAAAGTATACGAAAACGGGTGATTGAGAGAGGCCGCGAGATAAAAGAGAAGGAAGGAGCGTAAACGGGAGGTTGAAAGAGAGGCAGAAGAATATAAGCGGTGAAAGAACCGCCGAGAGAGAAAGGAGGCTTAAAAATAGAGAGGGAAGACGCGCACGGGTGATACTCGTTCTCGAAGGACTGAAGAGTTGAATAAAATGAAGGGGAGGGGTGAATTCTCTTGCTCGATGGCGATAACGTTGCTGTTCTTCTTCCTGACGTTGCACCGTGGGTGTGCGGAAGCCTCGCCGGCCGGCGGCGAGATTTACGCGAAGACGTTCCCGTCGTCGCAGCAACAACATCCATCGGACCCGTGCTACGACGAGGACAGGCCCAGGCGGTGCATACCGAATTTCGTGAACGCGGCCTTCGGGGCAGCCGTCGAGGCATCGTCGACCTGCGGCAGCGGCGGACCCACCAGGTAATTAATTATTTTATTAGAAGAAACACTATCTGTTGGCGCTCGTTCGAACGTTCCGTCGTCAGTCATGTATTCCACGTTCTACAACTTTTGCCTTGTTAGATGGCAATTTTTTTTAATGAAATCATCGTTGAAACGCGAGCAGAGACGTGTTCTACTCTGCGAATTGGTAGGATCATTCTGAAATTTCGAACAGGTATTGCGACGTGATCGAGCAGCCGGGCGGTACTACCACCGTCGGGCAGTGCCACGTGTGCGACGACAGCACTCCCCGTCGCCGTTTCCCAGCGAGTTACTTAACAGACGTCAGCAACCCTAACAACGTGACCTGCTGGAGGAGCGAGCCGCTGGTGACCTCGCAGAGCTTCTCCGCGCCCCCCGACAACGTCACGCTGACATTGTCCCTTGGAAAGAAGTACGAGCTGACTTACGTCAGTCTTCAGTTCTGTCCGAAATCGGCGAAACCGGACTCCATTGCCATTTACAAATCGATGGACTATGGGAAGACGTGGCAGCCGTTCCAGTTCTACTCCTCCCAGTGCCGTAGGGTCTACGGGAGACCCAATAGGGCTACCATTACCAAGGCCAATGAACAGGAGGCTAAATGCACCGATAGTCATCGTTACACAGGTAAGAATCCGGTATCAGACACTGTGATCCAAACAGATCGTGATCGGAGGATGAAATTAATAGAGGAATTTCAGTAAGACGATACGAGATCGTTCATTCATGCGTCAGGCTTGAACCGGGTTAGATAGATTCACCCCGAGCGCGCGTTCCACGCTCGATTCCATTCATATGTATCACTGAACGGTGTTGTTCAGGTGGGAACGGACTGGCCCCGGTGGGTAGGATCGCGTTCAGCACCCTCGAGGGTCGCCCGTCGGCCTCCGATTTCGACAACTCGCCCGTTCTTCAAGACTGGGTCACTGCCACTGACGTTAGAGTTGTCTTTAACAGGCTGCACATGCCGCAGCCGTCGCAGGACCAAGCGATCGACAAGGTATGATTTTTATATCGATCTCTCACATTTAATCAACGTCAATTTGAAAGATGAAATTTAGACAACATTTTATCGTGCCGTTTCATCTTTAATTGTTTTATGTATTCTTGAATATCATATCATTTTATCGAATACAAAATCTTTAGTCTATTAATTGGAATAAGCGAACGCTACTATGATCGGGACGTTCCCAGAACGTTTTCGCAAAATCCATTACCTCTGACATCCACTCGATCGACCGATCCAACTGTCAGGTTCTCGATCAACCCAACCTCTCAATTTCACCCACTGTACAGGGCTCGCAGCTCGGGAGCGACGACGAGGACCGTCGCTTGAACCTCGAAGAGCTCGCGAAACGTGAGCGCGAACGCGAGGAAAGATTTAAGAGCCAAAAAGGTCAACTCGGTGATCCCCTGGCCACCGGGCTACCGTCGGTGCACCAGGTGATCGCCGCCCAAGAGATGCAGTCGAACGACGCGGTCAATGATGACCAAATCGAGGACGAGGCTCTGGTGACCGTTTCGACGACAACTACGACTACTGTTGGAAGTCCGGTGACCACGGGCACCATGGCGCATCACTACGCGGTCTCCGACTTCGCCGTCGGCGGGAGGTGCAAGTGCAACGGACACGCGGCCAGATGCATTCAGGTGACTATCGTTCATGTATACCAGAAGTGGGGAACTTTTTTTACCACTAGAGAGGCCACATTTAAATTAGGCACAATTAATAAAGGAGGTCGCTATAATTTTTTATATTTCACTGTTTGTATTTTTATTTCTTTAAGCATATATGTTTAAATGTTCTGCGATATCGTTTCGGTAGTTTGTGTCGGTGCCCGGAAAGTTGTGAACCGCGGTGTTGTAGGATCAGCTGCCCAAGGATAGACTTACACTAGATAATCTGTGTTATAAGATACTGCTAAGAAAGCCGGCTGGATAGCCGGCTGCGGTCAATTAGCAAGATATACAACGGAGGACTATTTGTTGTGTCCAGGGTAAGGATGGTGAGGTGGCGTGCGAGTGCAGACACAACACGGCCGGCAGGGACTGCGAGAGGTGTCGGCCGTTCCACTTCGATCGGCCCTGGGCACGTGCCACCGCCAGGGATGCCAACGAGTGCAAAGGTCAGTCTCTCTTCTAGTATCCTACGAACTTATTTCCGGCTAACCGTACGCGAATCGCGCCGAATGCCTCGGACTTTCCGTTTTACGGCGAGGCTCGTTCGGTCGCAGAGGATATTCGACTGATTACGAAGATGATCCAACCAATTAGAAAATGGTTCGCGTTATTTTTATTTGACGGCAATCTGAGCGCGACGGAGATCCCGGATCGAGGGGAGAAGTATGGAAAAAAAGGAGAGGACAGGCGGGTCGGGGTGGAATTAAATTACATTTTAATTTCGCGGCGCGCGATACACGCCGAATATATCCGGGCGCAATTTACATTTTAAATTGGACGCTTCTTGCCGTGATTCCTGCCTGGCTCTCGGCAAAAACCACCCTTCGAAACCCTAAAGCGACTGTTTTACAAAAATCTCAACCCTCGTTCCGCTCCGCGTGCGACCAGTTAAACCTCCGTATATATTACGCATTTACTTTGTTCAAATTGCAAATTAAAAGAAATCGGGAGCTTAAGAAAAATCGGACCTCGAAAGCTCGTACAAATGAAACACCTATGGAATCTGAAATAGTAAATAGGAAAAATTGGATTTGGATCGAGAGAACGCGACTTATCCCGGTTAGGATATGTGAATTGATTGATTGGTTTCATAGTCACGAAACGAATGTATTTTATTTGGACATACAAGCGATGCGCGGTTGCCCCGCGCGAAAAAGAGGGGGTCGCAAGGTGGGAGGGCGTCCTTTTTATCGATTCGAAACGATTTTAGAGAGCCGGGGTGGGAGTGGAAGTCCCCGACGTTTTTGATTTCACCGTGCATCCTCGATACGACTCTCGAGGCAACGGTTCGCCGCTTCGAATTAAGGGGTGAACTCCGAAAGGAGACTATCCTACCTCCTCCCTCGGTGGTGCGGGGATGAAACGGGGATGGGAACCGCGAAGAGAGACAAAGATCGCGGAAGGAATACAGGGAACCGGTACGAGGAACGTGGAACGTGCCACGATTACAAAACTGTTGGACGTCTTCTTCCGACCAGCTTTCGCATTCAATACTGGCGCGCTATTGCATATTTCTATTCAATGAGCAAACGACACTACTACAATCGGGAGTTGATCGTGGAGTACCAAGTAATATCACCAAGCCGTAGCAACAGTTTGCACCGTCTAATTTCGTTCGAACTTCAATTCTCTATGCATGTCCCCACTTGATAATTACAATACAATTACAATGGTTAATCGAATTTTAGATGTCAGAATTTCCATGGATAACTGTTCACGTCTTCCAATTTCATTTGTTTTAAACTCGATTTCTCTGTAGGAACAAATTGTTGCATCTTCGTCCCCCGGTGTCCCGAGGAAGCAATTCGAGTTAAAACGCGTACGGGCGGGCGAACAAAAATTAAAGTCAAAGGGAGAGAGCTGCAAGAGGGTGAGATTTGGCTCGAAATTCGTCGCGCCCTTCTACTCGGAACAATTACGGACGATGGTTGGTTGTGGTTTTGCCTCTTTGCCTCTAGTAAGGACAGAGAAACATACACTCGACGATTTTATTACGGGGATCTCTTTTCCAATTAAACGGTTGCTATGGCGATGCTCGCGAGCTGCTCACGGCCTCCCGTAGACAAGGCTACGGATTTACGTTCAAGTTTCTTCCCATTTTTCAATCTATTTACCCGTTTCATACACATTGCAATTGAAAGCAGAACTCTTTCCACTAAATATCATATAAAATGTGTTCCTCCAAAAGGATTGCCCTCGTTTTTGACACAATGAAACGTTTCATCTGTATAAACATTGTGTTAAAATCAATCGAAATTCTTACCGTTCTTTGAGATGAGGTTTTTAAAAAATGCTAACTTTCTTCCCCACACATTATGTCTCGGAGTCTTGTTTATTTATCGAGAAGAGTGGAAGATCTTGTACGAATTTTTTATTAGTCCAAGTTACAAATGCTAATTCAACTTATCGTTAGACACACGTAGCCGTTCGTGTAGTTAAAGCCAGTTGGAGGAGCGGCGGTCAATTTCCAAGGCATCGCCGCCGTGGCCGCCGCCGCCGCCGCCGCCGCTGCTGCTGTGCATTGGTGTAGGAATTGGAAGGGAGAGAGAATTCGGTTCGCTCTTCCACGGAGCCTCGAGACACCGTGTTTCACGGCAGACCGCGTGGCAGCCTCCCAGGTCTCCTCTCCTCTCTCCGTTTATTTATACGTGTCCCTTCTCCTCTCTCTCGCATACCTACGCGCTGCGTGTCGTAATTATCAAACCGAGCCGTTTTAGGTAGGGGTCAAGAAAAAGAAGGAGAGACGGGAACGCGAGCAAAAACGTTATCAGCGAACACTTGTTTGTACTTACAGAAAACGAGTACCTCCGCGAAAACACAAACATCCCGTCGTATTTCTTTCATACGCTCCTACCGCCTCGTTATAAAAGCGTCTTTTAATTTCTATCAATGAACGCGTTAGAAGTTAGACGTGACCTCGCAATCCGGGGTTTCTGTGAACGGTCCGGTATCGTCGATTTCTAAAAAGCAACTGGAACGAGGAGATTAAAGAAACAATAACAACAATAAACGAGAGAGGAGAGACGGTGTTGTTGCACCGGGCGAGATTCGTCCCGAAATAAACGGCGACCGCATACCAAAACCGAAACCGAACGCATGCGCGAATTTAATTTACCCTCCGCCGCCCTTCTTCTTCTTCTTCTTCTTCTTCTTCTTCTTCCTCTTCCTTATTTTTTTTGCGTCTTCCACCAAAACCGTAAATCGAGTGTCGAATCAAATATATTAATTAGGAGCATCGTGACTTTCTAGTCGCGTCTTCGGGACATTTATTTGTGAGAACTGGTTATGGAAAATTGTACGATACGCTATTTAAAGTAATTAGTAGGTTCAAGTGTAAAGGAAAAGTTGTAATGAAGTTTATTAAGGGAAACCGTTTCTTTCCGGTTAACAGTATATCATTAGAAATTCGCTGTACTCGTGTTTTCCGCGCTGCGGGTAGCTAGAGAGTTAGCGTTTCCTTGAACGTGTGCTATCTTCGTCCCCAGACGATGAACATTCGCGATAATGGCGTTGGCAACGTTAACGTTTTGCTTTTCCCCGTAATTTCACTGGTCCGTTACGACGGACCACCTGTTCCCATAGTTCATTTTCACCGATACATCCCGGAATCGTTTTCGTGAAAATTCTAAATACGCATTTACGGAGTACAGGAATGTTCACAGATCAGGAGATATTCCGTAAGAGTTGTTTCTCAATATATAGTCAGTCATATATAGTCAGATATTCTGTACTTTGTGCACATTACTGTTTATATTGTATATTTGAAACGCATTGTGAGCCGAACAATCGGTTTTTTTGTCCGATCGGTCGTAGCGTGGCCAGCCGCTTTCTAAACCGTTGGAGGTTTATCTGAATCGACAGGATCGCCGATATCTCAGCGTTCCGTTGTCTCTCGATCTGGCGATTTCAATACTTTCTACGATACTCCTAGCTAAGTGGCAACAACACGGTCAGAGAGAGGGAGCGAGAGAGAGAGATGTGCTATCTGTCCGCGGCGTGTAATCTCGACGCACGGTTCCCTGTAACAATCCACCAAGGATTGATAACAGCCCGATAAGACGGCGCCGTTTTTTACCGCATCGTACAATAAAATGCCAACCAACAGTTTTTCTTTTTTCTCGGAAGATGCGGACGCCTGATACCGCGCGAGGGATACCGTTTGAGAAAGATTTTCAAACGCCTTCTACCCTATTCTGTTTCGCAATTCAACGATACACGTTTCCTAGCTTATAATCCGTACGCGCCAACATTTTTATCGTTCGCGTATTCATTACACGTACATTATTCATAAAACGTTTCTAAAGTTTGATCGTTGATGTAACGAGACACCTGGTGTCGCGCGAGTTCAGATGAAATCTGAAACGGATGACATCGCGATTTCAAGATACATTTCTGTTTATTTTCGAGAAACGAAGCACGCACGACTCGTTGACGAAACGGAAGCCCGGCCAGGTTTATTTGAACAGCTTCACGGATCCTGCAGGGGAAAAAAAAAGAGAGAAAGCTCTCGCGATGCAAACACAAAGTGGCAGGTTCCCTATCCCGCACACGTGCAGGGACCGCGGGGGTGGCCCTGGGCTCTCCTAAAGGGACAATAGAACCGGGGGGTGCCGTCTTCGCACCTCCGGGCCCTCCGTTTCCATTCTACATTTTCCACGGTTCATTTTTAAAGAGGGAGCAATTCCCCTAAACGTTCCTCTACGCCCTCAAAAAAAATCTACAATTGAAAAAAAATCTACAATTTACTTCCAGCTCATTGTCACGCTATAATTTTCAAACACCATTTAAACAATGACAATGCATTGAAAAAATATAAAGGGGACAATGACAGAATTTTGTAATTTCGTATAATTCAGGTGGTACAATTTTCTGTGTTGCTTCAAATATTGGACACAGATTTTGTTATACGTTTTCGTTCGAGACGATCGAATCTGTGATTTAATAATGAGATTGTGAATTGTAATTTGATTTATAGATGATCAATCAATCGGAAACAGGTATTCCTCGAATAGTATTTTGAAAAGCACCCTCGGCCGTTTCCCACGGTTTTTCCCCTCTATTTATTCCCCTCCTTCCATCCTGGTTTCCCTCGGTCCAAACGAAAATCTCTATTTATCCGGCTCTTCTAAATACAACTAGGAGTAACATCGTCGATTCGAGTGTATTTGAATTAAAAATAATTTCCCGTTCGGGACGACGATTCGAGAGTATATAACATAAATAACGTGGGAGGAACGGAGGTCGACCCCTTCCGTAATATAAACACCCTTAACCCGTTCGGTGGCTGCGCGTTGTTTAACAAGCGACACTTGTCGGCTCCAATACATGTGTCGAAAAACTTTCTCTTCTACCTACGTGTATTTTCAACGTTTCGGATTCATTGTTCAAAGAAAATATTTGAAAAGTGATCTCCTCGTTTGGGTTCGTGTCATCTTGAAGCGAGAAG